GGGGCCCAAGGCCCTGCTCGCCCCCGCCTTTTGGAAAACGAGCCGCCCTCCGCCTGTGCGCCTGCGGCGCGTCTCTCTGGGGACGCACAGGGACGCACCAGCACGGCATCCCCTCCCTGGAAAGGCGCCGCCGACCCGAGCATTTGGAGCATACCCATCTTGTAGCGCATCGTTACTCCAGATTTCGTAATAAAAGGGAGGGGGTCTGGACCCTCCAAGACAGGCCATTTCAGACCTCCCCGGTGGGAGAACCCTCCAAAACATCGTCCCAAGACCCCCCAGGATAGCCTGGAAGAGACCGCCCCCCCCCCCGAAATGAGACCCCCCTCCCTTTATTACGAAATCTGGAGTACCCATCTTGTAGCGCATCGTTTCCCAAACGGCGTGGCCAGAAAGCGCCTGCCACGGCGCAGACACGCAACGATTTCTCCGTGCGCGCATATCGCCCCGGGGAGCTACGCACACAGAGCCCCGCCCTCAATCCGTGCAGCTGCTGATGTGAAAACGTATGCACGCGGCGAAGAAGCGAGAACTCCGTGTGGGGGCGGCCAACCCTCGAGCGGTGCAACTGCTGCTTTTTGAGCTCAAGCGTCCGCGGCGAGGAGGAGGACGAGGAGGATGATGAGGACGAGAACCAGTGTAAACCCAAGAGTCATCAACGATGTTTGAGTACACCCTCCCTGCAAGCTCCCTCTTCATAGACCCCTACAAGGGTTCATTTCCACTGAAGGAACTGCCTCGTCGGAAGACAACCGTTTGAAGATCACGGAGCATGCCAAAACTTTGTTCTCGGGATTCCGACGCCACGGATCAACCTGATTATTGCGTATTGACGATCCTGAATCGTGCCAGAACGCAATTCCCTAATATGTACGTTGATCATGAGAATCTGTGAAACTCTTGAAAACTGTACAACAAGAACGTGCGCGGAGCTAAGGCGAGAATCACATTTTGAAAACAACCCGCCCTCCATCGGTGAAACTCATGCAACTTTTTAAACGAATGTGCGAGGCGCCAAAGCGAGCACCACAATCCGAACACGAACCGCCCTCGACCCGTGAAACGCTGCAACTGTTTACAACGAATGTGCGCGGCGCTGGGGCGAGAACCACATTTTGAAAACGGGTGGCCCTCAACCCGTGAAACTCTTGCAAAGTTTACAGCGAGTGTGCGCGGTGCTGAGGCGAGAGCCACATTTTGGAAAAACGACCCCGCCCTCCATCTGTGAAACTGTTGCCATGTTTTAAACTGAAGGGTCATACATGGTGAGGACGTCTCATGCGAAACGCCCGGTCCGCCCCAAGGACTGGCCTCGGGGTGCGACAGGGAGAAATTGTGTCCAACGAGAGAGAATGGAAGGGGAGGCGGGGGAGGAGGAGAAGGAGGAGGGGGAGGAGGAGGAGGAGAAGGAGGGGGAGGGGGAGGAGGAGGAGGAGGAGGATGAGGAGGAGGAGGTGGAGCAGGACGAGGAGGAGGAGGAGGAGGAGGATGAGGGGGAGGGGAGGAGGAGGAGGAGGGGAGGAGGAAGAGGAGGAGAAGGAGGAGGCGGAGGAGAAGGAGGAGGAGGGGAAGAAGGATGAGGAGGTAGAGGAGGAGGAGGGGGAGGAGGAGGAGAGGAGGAGGAGGAGGAGGAGGAGGAGGAGGAGGAGAGGAGGAGGGGAGGAGGTGGCGGAGGAGCAGGAGGCTGCGCAGCAGGGCGGGAGGAGGATGATGGTGGGGGAATGCGAGGACGAATAGCAGCAGCTGGAATCGAGGTAGAAGGAGCGGAAGACGCAGGAGGACCAGTGGAAGGCGGAGAAGGCGAAAGGAGGGGGGGCGACAACGATGAGGAATGACTCGGAGCCAGAAGAGTGGTTCGCGCTTGGGCGATCCCGAACTGTGGGCACCGGGAGCACCATGTTCTGGAAGTGCCGAACACGCTAGGATTGGACATGGGCAACAGAGATGCCAACGTTTGAAATCTGGTGTAGGATAATATTACACTGAGCAGGCGAGGTACTCTCGGCACGTAGTCGTACTCATAGCGTAGTATCTATAGTCACTTAGGCAGGAGGGGGGAGGGAGGGAGGAGGGGAAGGAGGAGGATGGGAGGACCAGATAACAAAGGAACACCAACGATGCTGCAATAGACCCTCCCGTCCCAGATCCCTTCCTCACAGGTCACGGCATGCGCTAGGTTGGACACGCCCTCCTACGCGCGGAGCTTGGAGGACACATTTTTTTAAGAAAGTAAAAGCATGCAATCATAGTTAAAACAACGGATCGAAACATCGTTCCCAGACTAGTTTTACCAGCCTCGAACGTATCCCTATCCCCAAGATTGGCACGCCAAAAGGCGATGACAATCCTAGGGATCCGCCCTCAAAAAATAAGGGACTCCCTAAGATTGGCATCGTAATGAGGAGGTGCCCAGCATGGGGATAGGGAGATGTCCCAGGCTGGTAAGCAGTTCGTAATTCCGTTCGAAGGTTCCTCCCGGGGGGGGGGAGGTCGGCGCGGGAGGCGCCCGCGGCAGGGCGAGCGCCCCCGTGGGCCTGCCACTCTTCAGACTGGAGAGGCGCTTCTGGAAGAGGAGCTGCCCCGCATCCCGTATCTAACCGGCCTCGAACGTATCCCTATCCCCAAGACGGGCGAGCAAAACGCGAGGACACTCTTGGGGGTTCGCCCTCAAACAATCAGGGAGTCCCTAGGATTGGCACTGTGATGGGGAGGTGCCCAGCATAGGCAGCATAGGGATAGGGACGTGCTCCAGGCTGGTCAAAGACGCTTTGGAAGAGGAGCTGCCCTGCACCCCGTAGCTGGAGGGAGCGCGACGGGGTAGGATGCGACACGCTCGCACAGAACATCCAGCGGGAACCCCGCTTTGAAAGCTTGCGCGCAAGATTCGTGTCCACATGCAGTGTCTCTTGGACTTTTTTTGGAAGCGGCGCCACAAGGCCTAGGCGCACTGGATATGGATAAGAAAAACGAGCCTCTATGGGGGCACATTTATCCATATCCAGTGCGCCTCGGGTTTCTTGGGAAGGGAGCCCGAAACTCCATATTGCAGTGGATATGGACAGAAGTAATTGCCCGCAGAAAGGGCACCGTCTCCATCCGTAAAGCTGCTGCCCAACATCACCATGCTGATCGTACCCCTCCTCCTGGCAGGCATCGCATAATCGGACGCCCCGTTCCGCAACAACGAGCAGAACACATCCTCCTATCCGTGAAGCCGCTGCGCACTTCCACGTATCTGGTGGCCCTATGTTTAGGTCGGGCATGTCCCCCTACAGGCGGATTTGGGATGCAGAATAAAGAATGCCCCTAACACATTCAAACATACTCAGAGCAATAGAACATCGTCCCCATCTCATTTGTTGGACTGCTTTTGAATATTCCTCCTGTAGATGGACCTGCCCAATGTAACCCTACTCCAGATTTCGTAATAAAGGGAGGGGGGTCTCATTTCGGGGGGGGTCTCTTCCAGGCTATCTTGGAGCGCCTGGGGGGGTCTGGGGACGATGTTCTGGGGGGTTCTCCCACGGGGGGGGTCTGAAATGGCCTGTCTTGAAGGGTCCAGACCCCCTCCCTTTTATTACGAAATCTGGAGTACTTAGCAGATTCTGAAAAACCTGAACCCAAACGCCTTGCCATCTCTTGGGACATCGACCTTTGCTTCCGCTGGCTTCCGCTTCCTCCTCCTCCTCCTCCTCCTCCTCCTCCTCCTTTCGGGGGAGGCCTGAAATGGCCTGTCTTGGAGGGTCCAGACCCCCTCCCTTTTATTACGAAATCTGGAGTACTTAGCAGACTCCGAAAAACCTGAACCCAAACACCTTGCCATCTCTTGGGAAGATCGACTTGTGCTTCCGCTGGCCTCCGCTGGCCTTCCGCTCTGCCTTCCGCGGGCGGAGCCGCCGCCGCTTGACTGCGCCATTCCGCCGCGGAGCAGCCGACAACGCCCTCTGTCCTCGAAGGCGAAGCCCTTTTTTTTGGAGCGCTCCTTTTGGCAAAGCGCACGCCCCCCCACAGTTCGGCGGTGGACAAACCTCCCTTTAGTAAACCTCCCCTTAGCGAAGACGGCCTGGGACCGAAACCGACGGACCGGGACCCGCAAAAATGACGGCCGCGACGCCCTCTCGCGAACCGAAAACGGCCAATTCCTTAATCGACGTGTCAGGGTAAGAGGTCTGTCCACCCCCGACCAGTCGGATCGGGCGAAGGGGGGGGAGTCGTCCGGGGGGTTCACAACATCAACTCGCAAAGCTGGTCCTCCCCGCGCTTCCCAGCGCCAGAGGCGCCCACGTTGCCGAGGAAAGCTGCAGGCGGCGGAGCCGAAACCAGCTGCATGCAGCAGATTCCGTACCCCCTCTTTTTCCCAGCTCCTCCCTTCGAGGGACCAGGAAAGGGGGGATTGTCTCAGGGAAGGAGCACCGACGTGGAATCGGCGATACACTGCCGATACGTCGGCGATATGCCCCCAATAGCGAGTCAGCACGCTCCTAGGCGAGGTGGGTTATCGGGCCTGTATCAGCGATCAATGGGCGATTGGGGTCGATCCCCCCCCTGGGCCTATCCCCCCGAATGTCGCCCCTGACATGAAGCGAGAGCCGCAAATTTCTCGCCTCTGGAAGGTACTTCAGTCCCTGGTCGGCTGCCACTGCAGGACAGGTCTGGGGCGCTGGAGAACAGGACACATCCGCGGCTGGCAAGGAGCTGGGCAGACTCTTGCAATGCCTTTTTCGGGAGCGGCCAAGAGGGGGGTGTCCAAGAGGGGGGGGTGCAAATCATGACCGGCGGCATGTGCGCGGCCCAGCGGGGGTGCCAGGGACGTAATGAAGTAAGAAGGGGCGCCATGAAATCTGCGGAAATATCATGACCCCCGACATGATGTCCACCCCCCCCTAGTCATCATCCCCCTCTTTTCCGCCCCTGACCTTTTGCTCCGGTGAAACATTAAAACAAAAGACGCGGGCTGCGGAAACAAGACCGTCCATGTCTTCTTTGGTTCTGTCCGTTGCTCCCCCCCCCCAACTCCACCTGCGGACGGCCGATGCCCCACGGGCCGCATGACCTCTCTCGGCACCGACCGCCCGACTCCTCGCGGTCTGGCGCCGAGGAGGCAGAACTCGCGCGTGTCAGGGCGCATCACGCCGGGGAGACGGAATGGGACTGCACGCTTCTGTGGCCATGCGTCGAAACAGCATCTCCTCCGCAGTGTTGCGCAATCGAATGCCTCACCGGTAGGGACGAGGCAGATGAGGGATAAGAGGGACGGGCGCGGTGGCACAGGGGGGCAGATGGTCCAAACGACCCTTCAAATAAAACAAGACTATTCATGTCCTGTGGGAGGATGCGAAGGAACCTAACGAGATGTCCAAGCGCAACCATGACGAAAGGTGGCAACGAGCAAGTGTACTGCATGGCCTCGGTCTGCTCATCACATGCACAAGGCGTACAGAACGCAAGCGAACAACCCACACTACCACTGGAAAAACAACCCGTGCAGATTGTGCCGGAGAAATGAGCAACCAAGATGCCTATGTCAGATTCGCACCGCGCCGACTTTGGCGTTGGTTTCTGACACCGCGGGGATCGTTCCACCTCGAACGATCGGCGGTTCCCAAAACGTCCAAATCGTTCCACATCGAACGATTCTTGGCCGCCCGCGGCGTTCAAAATTGAACACCACTGGTCGCCGCCGGTCGACACGACACGAACCTACCGTATGTCACTAGACACATGCTCGAACATCTATATAATCACGGCAGGCGCGCTCGAGCTATCCGGATGGGTTCCTGTGGACTCTTCTGAGCCACACCCGCACCCTCCTTCTCCTGAGGGGCAGCGATCGGCGGGGACTGGCATAGGGGGTGGGGGAAGCATCGACCTAGAATAGGCGATACACCGCCGATAGATCGGCGATGGGTTCCCGAGAGGAAATGCGCACGTTCCTGGGAGGGGTGGTGCTGTCAGACGCCTATCGGCGATCCAAGGGCGAGTGGGAGTCGATGAAATCCCCTCCTGCGCCGATACCCCCCATCGTTGCCCCTGACCTCCTCTTCCTCCCCCTCCTCCCAGGAGGCTCCTCCTTCCAGGAACCTCCTCGTTCCAAGAAGATCCTCTCCTTCCTCCTGTTTCTGGCGGTGCCAACAGAAATTTCCTCACAAGAGTGGCCCTGGCACCGGTCGCCAGCTTCTGGCGCCCCCAGTACGAGCCGCACATGATGCGGGCGGTCTCCTCCTCCTTGTCCTCCTCCTCCTCCTCCCCCTCCTCCCCCTCCTCCCCCTCCTCCACAATTACTCAATATGAATACTACTCTCCTCCTTCCCCTGATGACGGGTTGGGAATGTTCGCCCCCCCCCCCCCCCGCGTATTGTTTTTTACAAACAGGATTCCCCGGAGTTGGGTTTTCGCCTGCATTTTTTTTCAAAATGCTGCTCTCGCTTAGACGCCGGCCTCATTTTCGGGCCCGGCTCGTTCCGAATCGTGCTCCCGCTGCAGCGCTGGCCTCATTTCCGTGCTTCCGCTCGTTCCGAATCGTGCTCCCGCTGCAGCGCTGGCCTCATTTCCGCGCTTCCGCTCGTTCCGACTCGTGCTCCCGCTGCAGCGCTGGCGTCATTTCCCGTGCCATGCCACGGCATGCAATGCAATGCTAGGTTGCGTTCCGCTGCTCGATGCCATGCGTTCAGCTGAAGCTGTGATATGCAGTGCTTAAGTGCCACGTCGTGCTATGCCATGCTACGCTTCGATCTTTAACGCCATGCTATGCAATGTTATGTTCGGGGCCACTGTGCGATGCCATGCATTGGGTTGCAAAGCTTTGTGATGCAATTCTTCACTACGCCACGCCACGCCATACTGTGACATACTACACTTTGCGGTGCTCTTCTACGCCATGCCATGCCGTGCTCTACAATGCATCGCGTACCCTTTCGGGATCATTGCCCTGTTCGACATCCGACTGTGCGAGTAGAGAGGGGATCTACGCCATGGTAAGGGATGGGAGGGGTAGGATGTCAGATATGACGCGAGCGCACCTAGCTTGTCCTTTCCCCCCCTCCCTCCTCCTCCTGCTCCATTGCTTTTTCCTGATAGATAACTTCTCTCTGTCGCACCCCGGAGCCAATTTTTAGGGCGGGCCAGGCGTTTCGCATGAGACTTCCTCACCATTCATCATTCTGAAGCTGACGAATTCGCAGCCGCTTCACAGATGGAGGGCGGGTCATTTCCAAAATGCGGCTCTCGCCTGAGCGCCGCGCACATTCATTGCAAACATGTGCAATAATTGCTCGGAGTTGAAGCAAACCATTTTCAAAATGTGGCTGTCGCCCTAGCGCCGCGCACATTCGCTCAAAACAATTGCAAGAGCTTCACTGATGGAGGGCGGGTCGTTTTCAAAATGTGACTATTGCCTTAGCGCCACGCACGTACGTTTTTAATGTATGGAAGAGCTTCACGTATTGAGGGCGGTTCCTTTCCAACATGTGGCTCTCGCCGTCGCCCAGGGCACATTCGTTGTTTATCATGTTTGTCATTTCATTTAGAAAGTTGCAGGAGTGTTCGCATGTTAAGGGCGGCTCCTTTTCAAAATGTGGCTCCCGCCTCAGCGCCACACGCATTCGTTTTAACTATCTGCAAGAGTTCAACGGATTCCCATGAGCAGAATATCAGAAAAGGTGTTTCGGAAGGTTCAGGAACATGCGGGTGCAACAGGTTACGTTGATTCGCGCTGTCGAAGTCCCAAGAATGGCGTCCTGGCACGATTCATGATCGTCAAGACGCGACAGTCAGATTGATCCGTGGCGTTGGAATTCCGAGAACAATGTTTTTGCATGCTTCAGTGTCTTCAAACGGTTGTCTTCCGACGAGGGAATGAACCCTTGTAGGGGCCTATGAAGAGGGAGCTTGCAGGGAGGGTTTATTCCAACATTGTTGATGACTCTTGGGTTTACACTGGTCCTCGTCCTCTTCCTCCCTCCCACCCTCCCTCCCTATCCTCCTCTGCCCCCCCCTCCCTCTCTTCTTCCTCCTCCTCCTCCTCCTCCTCCTCATCCTCCTCCTCCTCCTCCTCCTCCGGCTCATCTTCCTCCTCCTCACGCTCCTCCTCATCATCCTTGTTCCAGATTCCCGTCCAGATACCTGGAGTTAAATTTGACACAACGCCCGCCTCCGCTGTAACAGGGTGTTCGCAGTCACAAGCTGATCTTAGTGCTAGGTGGCGGTGGAGACCGGGGCGATCTTGCCCGGACCGCCGCCACCTCCGCAGGAGCGCTCAGAGAGCTCAGGAACTCCTTGCGGTGGCAGCTCGGGCAGAATGCTGCCTTGCCCATCCCGTGCATGAGCTTGGTCCAGTTGCCCCAGCACCGATTGCAGGCCTTGTGGCAGCACCCCAGCGTCTGCGAGGGCCTGTCGCAGGAGTAGTGCTCCAAGCAGATGGGGCAGGGCTGCGGGTCGCCCGCGCAGAGGTTGCGGATCTTCTCCTCCCAGAGGTCCAGCTTGGAGGTCATGTTGCAGTTGTTGGCATGGGCCTGACGCATCATGTGGTACACAAACCAATCGCCTGTCTCGAAGGTCCCCATCTTCTGCCTGCTGTCGACCTCCCTCAGCTGGCCGTCCATCCAGGTGGCCACCTGCTGGTCAAGGAGCGGGCAACTCTCCGAGTGGAACTTGATCAGTATCTCCCGTATGCTCTCCACCTCTGCGAGAGGAGAAGGATGAGGAGCAGGAGGAGGAGGAGGAGGAGGAGGAGCAGGAGGAGGAGCAGGAGGAGGAGCAGGAGCTCTTGAGGGCTTCGTGGGAGGCCTCTCGCCACCTCTGCGAGGTACGCCTCGTACAGGCCGAACTTCGCGGCGCGCTCCAGGTCCTCCGCGGGCTCGCTCCGCAGCGCCTGCAGCAGCGTGTCCACCCTGGAGGGGCCGCTGCTGGTGCCCGCGCGGCCCGCGCGGCCGCCCTCGCAGGCCGAGGACGAGGATTGAGTCGGGCCTGTCCCCCTACAGGGGGATTGTCGACGAAAAATAAAAGATACCCCAAGAAAGGTCAAACAATAGTCCCAAAATTGTCTGGGGACTACGTTTTGAATATTTATTTTTTGGTCTTTTTGGATCATGATGTTTGGGGTATTGTTCATCTTTCGTCAAAAATCCCCCTGTAGGGGGACACGCCCGACTTAAGACGAGGAGCTCCGGTCGCTGTCCAGGCCCGCGCCGCTGGCGCCAACCAGGGCCCTGGTCTCCTGGAGCGCGCTCTCGTCGGAGCTCGTGACCCCCCGCAGGAGGGCCTCCGAGTCCAGGGAGCGCGGGCTCGGGCTGCGGCTCCTCTCCATGGCGTGGCCCGCGCTCAGGATGCGCCTCGGGCGCGGCCTGGCCGACCCCTGCAGCGACCAACGCCTGCTGAGACGTCATCATTGCCTGCCGAGCTTCTCTCCCGCCGCACACCGACGTCCTGGGGCGATGCGATGGGGGCCGTTGCCGAAGGGGATGGCTTGCTAGGGGTCGGTTAGGCCCGCCCTGAGCGCCTGGCGCCCTGCTGCACTCTCTCGAGTAGCTCGTGGTGGCGGTCGTGCCGCTCCCGGGAGGCGGCGGCCGCCTTCGCGCACCGGTCGCGCGCGGCCTGGTGGTCCTTTTTGGATGCCCGAGACGTTTACAGAGAAGATGGGTACGATGCCCAACAACAAATGGTGTCGAAGACTGACAGCGGCCACTGTGGGACAGGCGGCCTCCTGTTGCCAACGGACAACGACCGCGGCGACGCCGACAACGAACCCTCTTCAGAATGAGCGAGAACTACTGCTGGACTTCGTGCCCATTCTTTCCGTGCCAAATTTCGACCGTCCCGAGCCTTGCCCACGGTCGCCTGCGACATCTGCAGCAGGGTCTCCGCGACGAGAGCCCGGGTGCGGAGCGCCAGCCCTTTCGCCGCCTTTGGAGGCCTACCAGATGGGGTCCGATCAAGCGGGGTTGAAGGGTCGCGCCGCGTCGCCAATTCATCGCCGATGCGCTGGCGGCGTCGACGATGGCCTCGGCGACGTCGACGTGGAGGAAATCGGGCTCCACATCGGCGATGTGGCGCGATCCTCCGACCCCGTCTACTCCGACCTTCTCTGGGAGGCCTAGAGCCTTGCACTTCCGGAAGCACAGCTCGCGCTGCTGGGCGCGCTGAATCGAGCCAAGGTCGAGGCTGGCCTCCGCCTGCGCTCTCGCCACGGTCGACCGCCAGCGCTCGCACGACGCGGAGCGGGTGCCCACCGAGGCCGCCCCGCCTCTGGGTGGCGTTCCGGCCGCCATGCCAGGACAAAACCGACAGGGGCCTCAAGCCAGAAGGGCTGAGGCAGGGCGAGGGACACGTTTTGGAAGCCGCGTGCCCTCCATGGTCGCACCTGCTGAAGTTTTCAGGACAAACGTGCGCGGCGCTCAGGCGAGAACCACCGTTTGAAGACGTGTTGAAAACGCCCCGTCCTCCACCCGTGTGCAAATCTGAAAAAAACTTCAGGATCATGAGCGGTTGGGAGGTCTTCAACGACACCGGCATGCCCTACCGAATCGCATTGTGCTGCAACAAGGAGCGATTACCTATAAGGAGCTAGGATGGCGGAGGAGGGGGCCTAGTCTGGCTGGGACTCTGGCTGAGATGGGCGTGTCGGCAAAAATGTTCTCCTGGGTGGTGATGGAGGACCATGGTGAGGATGGTTGTCCGTGGGCTGTCTTGCTGCATCCGCCGGGCCATCCTGCCACCTTAGGTTTTATGTCGTTCCCATCGTACTGAAGGACCATATCCCAAGAATAAATTCGAGCACCCGGAAAAGTGTCGCAATAGTGTCGAAACAGTGTCGAACGAGTGTTTCCCAGGGCCCGACACGTGAAAACCCTCCAAGTTCGGTACTTTCCTAGTGCTCGAAATTCTTTCTGGTGTTCAAGGCTACAGTAGGTTGGAACATCACAAACCTTGTTCATGTCTCGCGTGCCTGGCTTCTCTGCGCTGGCCTGGGGCACGGAAGAAAGAACCCTCAGATAAGGAGTCCAGGGTCCGGAGGCTGGTGGAACACCAATTGAGGCCCCGGGATATCACCGCCACCCTTACCAGAGAAGGCACCCTCCAGTCGGCGGCGAGCCCAGGGGGGAAGCGAGAAGGGGCGGGCCTCATCAGAAGGCCCCGAAGTCCCCCTGGCCTTCCGAGAAGTGTTTTAAGCCTCTTCCGAAGAAGGGCTTCTGAAAGCCCGGCCGCCTTCTGCTGAGAAGGACTTCTCCCTCTCGTTTCCCCCCCCCTCGCTCGCCGCCAGTCTAGGGTCTGGAGCCTCCCGGGCACACGCCGTAACGTCAGGTCGGTCCTGTCCCCCTACAGGCAGAGTCGGGACGAAGAGTCACCTATGCACCCAACAACAAAAACTAGAACATCACCCCAAACAGTAGAAAAGACCGTGCCCAGACTAGGTATGCCCGGCTGGGAACGTAAGGCTGCATTTCGCCCATGCAAGGGTAGTGCAAGGTAGAAAGGGCAATTCAAGCATAAATCGGGGAAATCAGACTCAAACTCCCCAAGCGATGCGGGACCCATTCGCCATTGACTAGTTCCTAGGACATTGTAGGATAGGTCTGGCCGAGTCTGTCGCATGGCCTAAGGAAAACCATAGTCTGGGCCCCAGACTATGGCTCTACGACTTTTTGGACACCTCTCCTGTCAGAGGCACGCGCCCGATTTGCCATCCCGGGGCACACGCCTCCGCGACCCCCCCCCCCCCCACCACGGGCCGCCGCCGCGCCCCGCCCCGACGCCCCAGACCGCCCGGGTGCGCCCGCGCCGCGCGGTTGCCCCCGGGGAGGGCGACGGGGGGCGCGCGAACATGGATTAGCGATCCGTTGGACCTGGCGCGCGGTCGCCGACTCCACGGATCGGGGGAGGCGCCCCGCCCCAAAGTGCGGCCGGTGCCGCCTCGCTCGGCGGCGGAGGCCCGCGGTCCCCCACGCAGACGGGGATCATCGCTGCTGCACTGGGGCCCCCGACGTCGCGCCCTCGCGCTCCGCGAAGCGCGAGAGCGCGAAGAGCTTCGCGCCCTCGCGCCGCCCCCCCCAAAAGGGGAGCAGAGGAGGACGAGGAGTAGGGGGAGGAGGGAGGAGGCCCGCGAGGAGGACGAGGACAAGGGCGAGGAGGGAGGGGGAGGACGAGGGGAGGGCGAGGAGGAGGAAGAGGACGAGGGGAGGGGGGAGGAGGAGGGGGGAGGGAGGACGAGGACGAGGAGGACGAGGACGAGGGAGGAGTGAGGACGAGGAGGAGGGAGGAGGCCCGCGGAAGCGCGAAGCGCGGCGAGCTTCGCGCCCTCGTGGGAGAGCCATAGCTCCACGCGCCCCCCCCGTCGGTCCGTGCCTCCGCGCGCTCGCCCGAAGGAGCGGGGGGGGGCCCCTCGCCACCGCTCGGGCGCCCATCCCGGCCATCGCTCGGACGCCCATTCCCGGTGCTTTTTTGTCGGTTTCGCGCGTGGCTTCTTCGCCAGATGATCAAGGATGCTCGCGAAGTGTTTTTTTTTCGCCGGAGGAAACATGCACACGTCCGAGCGATGCCAAGCATTCGCCGTGCCTTCGGCTGCGGCTTCGCGCGCGCGCGCGCCCCTCTGCTCGCAGGGTGGCCCCGGGAGGCGCCTCGCGGGTCTCCGCGCCGCGGCGCGGCCGGGCGCGCCGCGGGGGCTCGCGCGCCGCGGGGGCTCCCCGTGCGTTGTGTGTGCTTTCTGCTGCTGCTCGCAGGGCGCGCCCGCAAAGAGGCTCCTCGAGGGCCCTCGCCGAGGGCAGACCGCGCACATTTCCGAGCGATGCCGAGGCTCTCCGCGCCTTCTTCGGCTGCGTGCGCGTCTGTTCTCGCAGGGGGAGCCCGACCAGGCTCCTCCGAGGGCCCTCGCCGAGAAGAAGGATACACATTTCCGAGCGATGCAAAAGGTTGAGCAAGGACCGACCGTCCGTCCAGGCATTCCTATCGGCCTTCCCCGACATTTTCTTAGACCCCAGAAATGATCTAAGAGCAAAAAACAATGTTCTCAGAACGCACGCCCGAGGCGTTCACACAAGAAAGACAGTCCCAGCCAGAAACGTCATGAGCACGTGCCGTGCAGGCCACAACAGGTTCTCAGAACATTCTCTGGCAGGCCTATATGGGGGGCAAACAAACCTGCCTCGCTTTTGACCACCCTCGACTCCAAGAGACACCAAGCGGTGCCAAACTACGGCCCGCATTGGTCAGGCCGCTCGACGAGGAGGCGCGTGGTATGACTCGGTTTTGCCTGGAAGCGAAACCGGGGTACGTAATTCACGCTCTGACTATTCGGGAGCGGCCCAGAGGGGGGGTCCAAGAGGGGGGGGTGCAAATCATGACTGGCGGCATGTGCACGGCCCAGCGGGGGTGCCAGGGACGTGATGAAATAAGAAGAGGCGCCATGCAATCTGGGGAAATATCATGGCCCCCGCCATGAGATCAACCCCCCCTAGTCATCCCCCCCCTCTTTTCCGCCCCCGAACTATAGGCGAGCCAGGGCGCTTCGCCACTGCTCGACGAGAGGGGGGAGGAGGAGGGCCAAGGGATGCTCGAGGCGTGCTCTGCCGCGGCCGCGGCGCCTCCCGCCGCGCGGCCTCCAAACCCCGGGGGGGGACGGGGCGAGTCCGCGGCCGACGGAGGGAGGAGGGCAGGCGGACTGCTCCAGCTCCTCCTGCTCCTCCTGCTCCTCTCCCCTCCTCCCCCCATCTCCCTCCTCCATCCTCCCTCCTCCCTCCTCCCTCCTCTCTCCTCCTCCTCCTCCTCCTCCTCCTCCTACTTCCTCCCTCCTCCTCCTCCTCCTCCTCCTCTTCTTATTGTTCATCGTCCTCCTCCTCCTCCTCCTGCTCCCAGGAGAGCCCAGAATCGAATCGACAATTCGGATCGGCGATCGACATGAATCGGAGCGGCGGAGATCGTCAGAGGAGTGGGGAATCATCGGATCGGCAGACATCGTAAGGCCAGCAAGCCTCGATTGAGGAATCTGAGCACTAATCGGAATCCGAAGTCGAATCGGAATCGGAAGCCATCGAACTCGAATCGAATCGAATCGGAGGAATCGAGACGAGCCCTGGGAGGGAAGCAGGAGGACTGCCAAATACGCTGTAAGCTTTCAGGGAACCTAAACCCATCTTTAAGGATGAAACGACCATCAGAATTCCTAGTTGGGGGATCTGCAATTTACGGAAACACACTGCAAGAAGCAGCTTCCCCTGCAGGACGGAAATGTTGTCAAGGACTCTTGGAGGTCTGGGGGGGCAGGAGGAGGGAGGAGGCGGATGACGAGGCGGAAGGGAACGAAGAGGGAACCGGCTGTTTAGAGGCAGGAGAGCCGGGTGGGAGGAAGAGAAGGAGGAGGAGGAGGAGGAATATCAAGAGGATGCCTATTTGACCTCCTCGATGCCGAGATGTGGACGGCACTCGCACGAGTTTCATGCGCGCATGCGTGCGTGGACCTGCATGCGTCTGTGCGTCTCACTCGTTTCCATCTTCTATTCGATTGAACATGTTGAAGCTATCATGTTTTTGGAGGGGCAATCATCTCTACGCCTTGATGGTTCGTATGTTTGTGCCGATGCAGCAATGGTGCAACGCGGAGGTGCATGTTGGGAACTCTTCTTTATTTCTGTCAGTGGGTCAAAAGCTTCATGTTCTGCGTTTTCGTCTCAAGCTGGAGTAAGGCGGCAACAGGAACTTGCGCCAATTCAATCCGCACCGGCTCGGTATCTGCACCATGGGACTTCGGCCTCACGCTGGAGGGATGAGTCCCCAAGCGAGTGTACGATGCACGTTGGCAAATTTGGCTTGAGACATGGCAGGGCTCATATTTGCGGAGCGGCAGATGTTTGTTCACCGTGGTTTACTGTCTCACCTGTCTGCAGATATTGATCTACCTGCCTGCCTGTACACGTATATCCGCCACCGTGCCGCGAGGCACGAAAGAGGAGGAGGCGGAGGAGGTCTGGGGGAGGGGGAGGAGGAGGAGGAGCGAGGAGGAGGAGCGAGGAGGAGGAGGAGGAGGAGGGAGGAGGCGGAGGGAGGATGAGGAGGGTGAGGGGGAGGAGGAGGAGGTGGAGGAGGAGGAGGAGGAGGAGGAAGGAGGAGGAAGGAGGAGGAGGAGGAGGAGGAGGAGGAGGAGGAGGAGGAGGAGGAGGGGAAGGGGGAGGGGAGGGAGGGAGCAGGAGGGAGGATTCGAAGGGAGGAGGAGGAGGAGGAGGAGGAGGAGGAGGAGGATGAACAATAAGAAGAGGAGGGATGAGGAGGAGGGAGGAAGTAGGAGGAGGAGGAGGAGGAGGAGGAGGAGGAGGAGGAGG